AAGACAAAATGTTTATGTATCACTTTTAAAACTTAAAAAGAATTATTTCAGTGCATTTTTCAGCCACGAGTTTATTATTGATTAAATCTGAGCACTGATTAAATCGATATCGTGAGAAATCGTGTGATTTCAGTATACTTATAAAAATTAAAAATGAAAGAGTTTTTTTAAATACAAAAAGATCCCGTGCAGTGATAGGGTATGTAAACATTGTGATCAAACAAGTATAGAATGAAGCAGAAGATCAGATAAATTACAAAGAATGCATGCATGTTGTTGTGTTACACAATATGTACATGTAATGCAATAAAAGATGTTTGCTAACTTCATATTTCAACTTGTTTATTTTAGTTCCAAGATAACACTCGCTTCAGGCATTTTTCGCGATAGTTTATTACAGGCGATATTTTTTCTCCCACACAACTTCACCAGTTCACGAGGAACACACCTCCGCAGAAGCATAAACCAGTAAAATGCACCCGGAAAATGCAGCCTCTGCTAAAAGCCGCAGCGTACGTTGCACATAACACATAAAAATGGACTGATAAATATAACTGCCATACCCAGTGAACTCTATATATGTAGAGAGAGAGAGTTCACTGGTTATACCGTCTTATTGGACTGGCGGAGTTCATTCATTCCTGGTATTGATTCTCAACCGCTAATCCGGTGTATATAGTCTAGGACAACTGAGTAGTATGTTATAATTGCAAGAATACAGCAACTGAGCAAGATAATTACGATAATGCAATTTTTACCCACGCGAATTGAAGGTTCCTTTATATGTTTCTGAATTATATACCAAGATATATCGTATCTCCTTATGTGCCGTTCTTCATGGACGCGTTGCCGTTGTTCATGTTGCACCTTCTTTCTCCGGCCATTTGCTCGGCCTTCTGCTGAGTGAAATAAACTTGCTTTCAATGCTGCACATGTTTTATACATCATCGTTTATATCTTTACTTAAAGTTTATAAACACAATTATAAGTTACCATGCACTTCGTTGAATGATGAGAACTGTGAAAAGTGACCCAATTAAAATGATACCGCGCGGTGGTGGTTTTGCAATTGATCTGTGTTTAAATTACATAATAGGAAGCAGAGTGTTTGGGTTATTATACCTGACTTTGCATGTTCATAATACCTTTCCTCGGGTTGACTAGCTGTCATACTTATTAAAATCAGACTATCATTTCAGTAATTGAGTTGTATCCATTATATTATGATAACCAATGAATTTAAATGTAATGTAACCTTCTGAGTGACAAAGTGGTTAGGAATTAATTGATCCAAGGAAAAAACACCCTTTAAGTGGCATGGTTTAAAGTGAAACACCAACATCTATTACTGGGTCAAGTATACAGAAAATGGCCCCTGCATGTACATGGTCCGATAGAATCTCAGAAAAGTCGTTTCGTTGTTGTATTCTTCTGGCGGAGGGAGGGGTGGGGGTGGGTGGAGAGAGCAAATAATGCCCACCTGGACTGATTTTTAAATCTCGACGGTCTGAACATAAAAACGCCATTGTTTACGGAATTGAGATCGGAGAAGACGATGGTAATTACTGATTTTATCACTTCGACTGCGACGGACATATAGTTGACCAGTAGGAAGCAGTAGTCTGGGCCCACCGCGCCCCTGTAAGCCTAGAGAATGAGATTGGACAGGGGGAATAAAAGTAAATATACTAGAGCACTATTACTAATCGCCATTGAAGTTTCCCCTATTTTCTGTCCTATACTGATATAGGTGAAGGTTTAAAACTGCATGTGAAAGAACGATATTCTGCTTCTTAAGTGTTGTTCTCTTATGCCACCGACATTCGACGATATATTGTTTGTGACCGGTGACGAAGAAAACTTATTTAAAATAACAGAGCACTTCATTCAGATTTCTCCTTTTGCCAAATAAAAACCTCTCTTTACGGCTACCCTGGCCAGGTTGCAACTTCGTTATTAAGCCTGGTTTTCGTATGTCACCGACGGTCGGCCACGGCTATTGCCATGATCACTGACGAATGAAGTGGTTTGTTATTTTAAATAAATATTCTTTCTTACCGGTCACAAACAACTGACATCGCTGACTGTTGGTGACATACGAGAACCAGGGCTTTAATAATATATATATTTATTAGGTTGCGCTAGCTCAAATTAGAAAACTTTTGAAATAAATGTTGGAATAAAAAGTTCCTTGCATTGCAATTCTAATTTCATACATTCCAACATGAATGAAATGCTTTGTCTTTTCCAGGCATATTTGGGAAATCCGCCCAGTTCATGCATGCACGTAGTATCTACGTATACTGTCTGAATTGAACGTCAGGTACGTGGAGTAATTTTGAGAGTCATACAAGTTGAAGGTCAGTTTATCATGCATGAAATAGAATGGTTAGAATGATTTTCATCCAAATGTTAAAAGAACTAAATCGGTTAAATCCTTCCTATACGGCCTATACATCCTTCTAAACTACATAGCTAACGTACTCCATGAGCGGCCACACAAAATATCAATATCTTTCATGATTCATAGATTTGTGATTCATAAATTTTTCCTAATTTCTGTCAAGTTTATTTCCTTGTGTATATGACGAAAAATTCAGAACCAGGCTTTTTTCGGAGATTTTTTGTATGGGAAGCTTGTCCATTTTTGCCGAACCTTTGAAATTGTTTGTGGTGTGCTATAGGGTCATAAGGTCATAATTTACAAATTCACTTTCCTTTGGTATTCCCCGTGTTCTTGTCAGTATCGAATTCAATACATGTGGTCACGCAGTGCCCGATAATCTGATTTAATAAGACTTATAAAATTTCTGAAACAATTGATCTGATTCACCAAAACTTTAACTAAGGATGCATAAGTATTCATAGTAATGCTATTTAGTAACCGCAGAGTGTTTTATAATGCCAATTCAGCTAATCATTTTGGCCACTGATATAGCCCTGCGATGATAGACGTATTGTTCTCGAATGAGAATAAACCAGAATAATATTTACCTGCAACAGTCCACTTATAATTCAACCAAACATGCACCGTGAAGTGACCATTTCATATTTGTCGTAAATTAGTCTCTCTGACTAACTATATCTAACTAGCTATGAAAACAGTCATGTTTCAACCAGTAGCTATATATTTCAATATTGCACTGACGGTAAAGATATAATTGAGGAAAAATAATTTGCTGTTTTGAGACGAGTATTTTTACTTGCATGTTTCAACGGCCTGTTTTAAATGCTTTGTCGAATGAAGTGAAATTGGTACTGCACGGTGATTTCCGGTATTGGAAGAATTTAAAAACATGGCTCAATCGTGCAGTCGTTCGCATTTATTATTTCAGAGAGTGTAGCTATATATGGTGTTGCGGGTCTTGCCAGATCGGGGGAAAAGAGAACAAGGAAAGCAAGGGTCTGTCTTCGACATTCAATCTGGCAACTATATGCTTGTGGTGTTTTATCTGGAAAACCACAAAGTGCACCTGTATACAGCTAATTCAATTACGTTCAACCTTAATTGAACTGAACTTTGAGCGCTTAGATTCCTACGTTCAAGGTTTTGGAAAGGCGACCTTAATTCATTTAATTAACCGCTCCATGCATGAACATCTGCAATCATGTAAAAAAACAATTTCTAAAGAAGCTTTGAGGACCCCAATTGTATATGTTGCATGGGTTTTTCTACAATCGATGCCTTGCCAAAGCCAACATATTTGGTTCCATTTTCGAAGTTGGCACTTCTCCTGCAATTTGCATTTACGCATTTTTTAACAAAATGTGCACTTCGGGGTGAAGTTATAGGCTTGAAACTGTAGTGTATATAGAATAAAAAAATATCACGCGATTTACTCGAAAGAACGATACGTATAGCTACAGCGATATTTTGTTGCAGATCCGTTTTAATCAAATTTACATGAATGGTACTAAACCAGCGTAATTGATACTTCTAAGTCGTTTAACTGGCAAGTTTAAGGAAATAATTGATTTTTTCTTTCCTAACTCTTTATGCATGAGGATTGAGAGATTATTCGAGATGAACTTATATGGGCAAAACGTCAAGCGTTTTGCGGTCAAGACCTTGGTGAGCTGAAAAACGTATGGCACGTCCTTTGTTATAGATTCGTAGTTTTAATCTGCTACAATCTGTTGCCTTCCGCGGGGTTTAAACTCCCATATTTATTTTCCCGCCAACTGGAGCTAGTTGCGAGCATGATATATTTGTTTGATTTCATTCTAATATTTCGTATATTCAAAGGTAATTCTGAAGTCAGATTGGAGCACATGTTACCTATAACGAATTAGATGCATGCAAGTTCAAATCGCGCACTATAGAAAATGAAAATTTTTTATGTTATCTTAGTGATTATTCTGGAATACATGCCCTTTGTCTTCACCAGGATGTCCTAACAAATTTTAACAAATTAAATTTTCGTATCTTGACGTTATCAACTTGACATCTCGTCAAGGTCTATGTTGAAATTTTGAATTGGTAGTAATTAAAAGCCTGCATGTTTTTATTATTAGACAAAAGAACGTTTACGATAACCTGTTTACAGATCACATCCATTCAAGCCGTCAGTTATCAAATAAAAAACCAGCTGCAGTAATTTCAAGGATCAAGTGGTTGTCAATGAATGATAATTATCAGATTACTCGCGATCCTATTAACACGTGCGCACTCAACTTTAAGAAGTTACATCGCATTTTATCGAACTATCGCTATAATTTCACCTAGTATTAACCTTATCGGATAATCTAGGAAAGTAAATAGTTCCGTACTGCGCACGAATACGTTCAACATTGAGGGAAATTTGTAACCAGCAGATAAACGCGTGCCAAATATCTTTACACATCAGCTGTTATAGATATGTTCCCGTGTTAATCGATATTTTCCGTCTGCATGTGGGCGCCTTTAAGTGACGTGACGCGAAAATCTCGACGATGAAATTTAATATACAGTAAGCGATATTTAAATCAATAAAAACCAGCGCATCTAACTTTGTGGCTCAGAATTGCCTTGCCAGCATAGCTGTCCTGTCATATACTTTTGCATGCAACTAAGGCGAACATTGGAAATGATGCGACTAAGTTTTGTTTTGGGGCCTTTCATTTTGTTGGTCTTCCATCGCGCAACTGGTGCACATGGTGACATCCACAGTATGCTTCGTCAAATAGATATTAAAGAGAATGATCCAGACATATCGGAACAAGAGAAGAAGAAGTTAAACGAATATCGAGAATCTTTGGTGAAGCAAGAGATCCTGAGGATGCTTGGCCTCGAGAGACCTCCAAATGTTTCCGACGTGAAGAACATTCCCAAAGAAATGTTGCAAAGTGTTCTGCGCCAGACAACACATGATAGTGGCGATGCTCCTGAGCACGAAGCTGATGCGGATAAACAAATCGTTGTGATAGCACAACCAGGTATGTCATTTTAGCTTTTTACCCCTCTTCATAAAATCCGCTTCTGAATTGAAATCCGCTTCTAAAGCTTCTATTGCATAACTTTAATCTCGTAGTTAAGGTGGAGTAAATCAGTATTATATAATCTGGGTGCTAGCTGCCCTATCCTCTGCCATCGCTGACTCGTTGTGACTAGCTTTGTCTAGCTAAAGTTCTTGCTCGACCAGACTCACAGAGTAATGGTGGACTGGTTTGGCGTGCTTATCTAAATAGTGTGACAAGATCATTTTTGAAGTTGGTACCACACCAAAAATAACGGATTATGAATGGTTATGAATTATGCGCCTGATAATATTGACGTACTATAGGTGTAGTAAAGGTTTCTTGGCTTGCGGGCGTGCAGTGCTTCTATGCAAATATTTTTCTAATAAGCGCTTGCATCATGCGTAAATTGACCACAGCGATAATTTCGCGTGCTGTGCGCTGTCAAAAAAATGCTTCCCTCGACAAAATTCGTGAATGCGCAGAGCCATACCTATAAGGCATGGTTATAATTTTATAGAGACATCGTCTGGAATTAAAAACCTTGCGAATTATTTATATGTTTACTTAACTTAAAAAAAAAGATAAAAAGACAACAAATAAGTTGATTAATAGCCCTCTTGTTTTCTGACCGTCACGGATTGCATTCATTAGGCGTACTCGTCTATATGGTTCTGAAAGACATATTGATTGCATTTTGCTCCTAAATACCTATGGTATCAGTTTAGAAGCTTTCCTTTGTGTTAATTTGGAATGATTGACTAACGTTTTTTGCCGTGAACAGCAGCAAATTTGTCAAAACTACTCCAACATAAAAACACTTTTTGTAAGTGGAGACTGTCGAGACTATAATATACAACGTTGTATAACTGAATCAAAACTGAATCCTTTGATCGATCTTCGGATAACAATTAATTGTCCATACAGCTAGTAAAATTTTCCATTCGTCGTAACAATATAAGGTTGATATTAGTAGAACGAAAGTTTGAATGTTATCACATTTGCTGAAACGAAGTTTTCGTCGTTATAGTACATGTCCTTTTTTACGCAGTTCAAAAATATGGTTTTCGCGCCATTTTAGAGTCGCTATATACCACCCTTCCTAAGCTTCCGCGAGGCCTATTGCTATAGGAGTTAGGTATAACTACAAATCCATTTATAGATAATTAATGGAGTGATGTCAGATTAAGGTGCGAGTAAATACGAGATTTTTATCGAGGGTCATCGTTGAGGAAGTCGCCATAGGAGAATGTGTTTGTATATAGCTAGATGAAATCTTTCTCTACCCATTTACGTTAACCTACACAACAGTTGCTCTGAGTTTCCATATACAACAACGTCGATAGGGATATTTGTTATCGGTAAATCAAATTTCTTGTCAAATTCAATCATACAAATCGATGCATAGCTACAATCTTGAGGTGTTGTTGTCTTTCACGAAAACATATTAGATTTACCTTTTCACTAACGCGCGGTTCATAGTTTCAGTTTGTCCAACTTCCTCTTGAGAAATAGGGCAGATTCTTCAAATTTTTCTTCGTAGCTGCGTTCCGCTTCTACATATGCCCCTTTCCGATACTGATCGCCTAAAATAACTACGCAAGTCCAGCTGTATATATAAACGAAGTCGCGTGGGTGTTGTTCACTCGCGCGATATACTCTAGTAAAGTTACTTGCATGTCGATTGAAAAATATTTATGTAATAACAGACGTATACTCACATGAATGCCGTAAAACCTAAGTGGACCGGTAGTGTGTCAGGAAATACTGCAATAAATTCACCGCATGCGTCGAAACTAAGAAGGAAAGGGTATAAAAGGTACGGAGAATACAAACAAAGATTAACGCATTTATTTTAGAACCATGAAAAGCTTTTCTGAAAGGCGTGTATTTTGCGATTCAAGCATGTGTGTGTGTGTCCATGCAAGTACGGCACAGCATCTCGCATTCATCTGTCATTGTCACCGCTTTCGAAAGTTATATAGAGGAATTATTGCTATTCATAATTTAACACCTCGGTTGAGTAGCTCTTGAGTTTACATGTAATATAGACAGTGATAATACAATAAACCAGACCTTTTCAATATCAAACTCGTTAAGGTTTTTTTAGAAACACAAATAGAAATATATAAATCAAATTGGCATCTCATATAATGATATAATGTTTTGCATTTTCGGGATGCATGTTCAGTACGAGCATGACAGAACTATATACTATGACACTGCATGTTCATCGCTGAATTTCGCTGTGCGTGGAAATGTTCTGTGTGTGGCTATGTCAGGATTTCGAATATAATTAAATATATATATATATATATATATATATATATATATATATTACTTAACTATATAATATATAACTATATAAATGGTTTTGCCTTTTGACATTGTTTGCAAAAGTCTGCCGACTGAAATTGAGTCGTTTGTGCTTTGCTTACTCATTTTATTAATTTCCATATCTAAAAATTACATGCTGATATTTCATTAATTTCATCTGTGCTAAAAATGCATCGGCGAGTTAAACCGATGGAGACAAAATTCTTACACTCGTGATAAAATCTGCTCGTAATTCAATATTTTAACGATTAATTCAAACATTATGAGACACGCGGGGCGCGTTTCAGTTTAATTGCCGTACCGGTCGGCACAGAATGTTTACCATTTGCATCACGGAAGGATTTCCAGTTAAAATTTCGATAAAACTCTTTCAGTTAAAACGGGCATCAAGACAGTTTGTTTAAGCCAACCGGTATGCATGAATGGTGTAATTCAAGTTCCTCTATACCAGTTCTATTTATTGTTGCATGATTTCCGATCTGAGATATTTTCAGTTTGCTTTCCTGATATATTTTGCCTGCAGTGTTTCAAACGCGTTGAAGAAAAAATACTCTCAACTTGTTTGGGAATAATTTGATAACAATTTAATAACTATACTGCTTTCTATGGCAACAGACGCTTACATAAGTATAAATATTCCAATTTCAGTTCATCATGCATATTCTTAATGCATGCAACTATAAGTTCTAACGAAGCCTTATTTTCACACTTTTAAAATCATAATATTATCTGACTGTTGCTGTTCACCTTACTCGTATCGGTTAAGTTTTTTTTCATTGATGAATTGACGTCACATGATAAACTGCTTTCATCACGTGCTCTTCAAAACTGGACACCAAGGCGATGTATAAGCGCGGTAAGCGCGCGCAACTGGACGTTTGCCCATCATTGCAAATTTTAAGAATGCTGCACCGATAAAAGTAGGCAACTGCAAATAATACTCTATAATTTCTATATATACTCTATAATTCACCATATAAATCTATATAAATGCATGTATAGATGTTTAATCTCGCTATCTCTACTCTGTCATATTGTATTTATGGCGCTGAAACCGGTTTGAGGTCATGCTAAGTCGCTTCATTTTTTGCTTAATCCTAATTCTCTACACAACTTTATCAAGTCGATTATAGCGAAATTGACGGGCTGACAATCTATCATTAAACAGTATTTCGTTTCAGTATAATGCGTAAACAATTTGATTATACAAATCCTATTCATATATTGTCAACACCAAATCAGTCACCCAAAGTCGTTCCACTTGTGTCCTCACGCTCCACACACATTGATCGTGAAAGGATTATTCAATTCGCCCTGTTTAACACATGTGTTGCCATCTTAATTATACAAACCACCAAGTTGTAAGCATTATTAAAAGTATATAAAGACTATATTTATTGTATGCACGTGTAAATATTCTAAATCACTGATATCCAGCGTGAATTATTGCCCATGCATCATCCTTTCTTACAATTATAAGGAGATGCTTTTAATTTCTTTGTTTAAAAGTGGAGTGGGAGCTGAAGGAATAGGAATATATATGAGTTTGGACTTTGGGGTAAAACAAAAAACGAGGAAGTAAAAGAGGAAGAAGAAAAGTGGAATAACAATATAAATCCTTTCACCATGTATGAAAATATGAAAGGAAATATGAGGAAATCAAACATGAATTGTACAATCTATTAAGTCATCATCCATCAAGTATATAAGTAGCTATAAGGTCAACTTACATGGCTCATCGCCAATCAGCATTTAAAGCTTACAATATCATATAACGCTTGTTATAAAAGGGTTGACAGTACTACGGGTTAAATTTTTTTATATATTATTGTCTTGAAGTAGGGTTATTTAATTCCCTATGACAAACACATGCAAAAAGTGCTAGATGTTGATATTTATAATATGCATTCTTTTTCGAGGTATGCGGTGCATTTATGCAACTTTGAAATTTGAATTAAAGTTTTCGTATTGAAGTGATGCATTAATGTTTTATTCCTCTTAGATTCCGCTGGACTAAAATCTGAAAATGAAAAGGGAACGAAAAGCAATTCCATGAGATTCCGTACTAACGTAAAACTAGATTCTATATCGTCTGTAACGCTGGTCCTTCGACGTAATCCGCAGGTCGTAACGGACGAATTGCTAAAGAAACCTCGTTTGTTAATCGCGCAAATCATTGTCCATCCTGATCGACTCTCCCATTTAATCGGACATCCAGAAGTTGTGGAAACAAACGGAGACTGGGTCAAGTTGGATATCACTTCGATTTTAAAGTCGAAGGGTAACCATACCGTGCTGACAAATGTCTCCATCGAGGTTCTATGCGAAGAATGTGGCAGCGTAAAGGGCTTTAGGAGTTCAAAGAGACTGCGTCCATTCCTTCTTTTTACCGTGAAGGCGATAACGAAAACGCGAGAGAGGCGCTCTATCGAAGACACTGGTCCGTGTTCTCTGATAGAATATAAAGTCAATTTTGCCAAATTGGGGTATGATTTTGTAATTTACCCAAAGGAAATTTCTCTAAATTACTGTAAGGGTCTGTGCAAAAGTCGAGATAAAATGTCATTGTTCTTCAGTCGCATTAACTTTTTGAATCCAGACAAGACTAAACTCAACGATACCTGTTGCGTGGTTAGCAAAATGAAATCTTTGTCGATATTTTTTCTGGAAGGTGACGTGATAAAGACCAGTCTCCTACGAAATGTCAAAGCAATGAAATGTCAATGTGCATAACTGGCTGCTGTAGTCTTTCTCTTAGGCTTAGCATAAATTTTCATGCCGCTATATGTGACAACCAGGGGCCGGTTGTATGAAGCCCGTTTGGCTTAAACGGTGGATAAGTCAAATTAAATAACACTCTTACATCTCTCTTGAATGAGTCAACTTGAATATTATGCACTGAATATGTAGTTGTAAACAGTATCTTTAGTATTAAGGTTAAAAACATTTAGTTTGCTTGTTGAATAAAACGATAGACTTGCTTTCTATTTTGAGCTTCACCACCGTTTAAGCTAAACGGGCTTGATACAACCTGCCCCAGGGCATTAAACATGTAGCTAAATAAGTGCCCCAGGCTTTAGATATTGATTTAGTTTCAAACATAAAATGTGACTTATAGTAAGTTTAGAAACCCAGAAATGTAAGTTATGCATTTAGCTTCATTTTTAGATTTAATTTTCCCATCCTTTGGGATTAAAAACATTTTGTATTATGCATGTTTAATATAGTTGTTGTATTAAAATACTGTGACTATAATATGTGGACGTTCATTTTTTTGCGGCGCAGGATTATAGCGGCCGCGTATTTAGGTCACACAGACACAGTATCCTTTTTCAACATTTTGCCTTATTAGATATATACGTCGGTCTTGAGTAACACAACTCTACTGAGAAGTGTATAAAACCGGTGTCCCAGGAAATCCCCCCCCCCCCCAAATTTCCTAATCCCAATATTTCCCAGATATTGCCCCAAAATAATTTTCTTTGACACCGGAACCCGAATTAAGTAATTGTGTATTGCCATTCGCTAAAATTATGTTTACACTGGCGTCGTTTTTACATTAGTTTAAAACTTAACAAAGCTATGCCCCTGAAAATTATCTTGATGTGCAGATATCATAAAGCCAGTATGACGTGTGCATCACTGATTTTGCTATATAACGTTTGGTAAATATTCTACTTTACCTGCATGCAAATTGTAAAAAATTGCAAATTTTATTATTTTACTTTACTTAATATGATTATGCAAAAGCGGCATGGGTTTCACATGAATTCATTAACTAAAGTCTATATAATCTGCTGCCAGGTGTATTGCCACTTATAATGCGCTTTAAAGAGTGTGTGAAGTATATTTCGCAATAAAAAAGATACAACTAATTGTATATTTATAATATATAGAAACATTTTAATCTCAATACTATTCAGTCAGTGGTTTCCTTAGTAATTTTTGGCCGAGAATCTTGAGCATTTTTCGGAATTAAAGGGTACATCAATAAAAATGATCTATTAACTTTATTTCTGCTCAACATATTTTCGAATGAAATTATCTTCCATTCGCCATTTTGAATACACAAAATACGCATTTTCTTGGTGAAAATTCGTTTTAACTTCAAATTTACGACCCAGCGAGTGAAAGCTTTATAACAAGTGTAAATTTTCTTTTAAACATTACCATATCACTTTAAAATTTGAATATCTTTATTTGTTCGCCATTAATTAGTCAGTAATGTAATCAATAATAGATGTTTGATTATGCGGCCGTATTATTGATATATTTAAACCACTTATGCCTGCAAGCAACCATGAAATTTTGCATTAAACTTGAGTTTCAATTTTTTGTTTGTCTTCTGTTTTTTCGATCTCGTCATCTTTGTCATCATTCTGTTCGCCAGCGGGTTCCTCGTCACGTTGCCTGACAAATGCAATGTTAGACCTATTTATGAATGCTTTCAATTCACGATTTTGATAAAGTAGAAATGTAACCACGGCGATTACAATGGCTAACAGGATTACCAAGACTATGATTAATGCAAGGAAACCTTGTTCTTTCTTGCCCTTTTTATCTGAAAATAAAGAACATTTAATGGAAATTAAATCGAGCATTTTGCTACTACAGAGAATTTATGGAGAAAAACAGTGATGTATTGCGTAATTTTTGCAATTCATTAATAATTTCAGCAGCAAACTGTTTCATTTTAGTATCGCAGAGGTGAATCTAGCACTAGTGCACTAATTTGCATGAAACAAGAAAACTGCTAAAAATAACCACTTTGTTTTGTGATGCAAATTAGTGCACTATAGTGCTGGATCCTCCCGTGTAATATCGTAATCTTACCAGTTAATACTTCATCAACTGCACTGACCGTTGGCAATGCGTCAGTTGAAACTTTTTTTGAAACAATGGCATGAGTTGGACCTCTTGTTGACACATTAATGAGGCCTTTTGTTTGCACAAAATCAATGCTACCTTCTGTCATTACCACATCTGAAGTACCCTGAGTTGAGTCGGTGTCAGTTGGACGTTGTATCAACACAACATTGGTTGTATCCTGTGTTGAAACAGCATCAGTGGGACCTTGCGTTAATACAGCATCTGTGGTGCCCTGTGATGAAACAGCATCAGTGGGACCATGTCTTAATACATCATCTGTGGTGCCCTGTGTTAACCAAGCGTCAGATGAACCTTGTGTGAAAATAGTATCAGTGGTGCTATGTGTAGAAAGAGCACCAGTGGGACCATGCGTTAATACAGCATCAGCGGTGCCATGTGTTAAAACAGCATCAGTGAAACCATGCGTTAATACATCAGTGGTGCCCTCTTTTGAAACAGCCTCACTGGAACCTCGTGTTGAAAAATCTTCAGTTGGACCTTGTGTTTGCACAACACCAGCAGCAGTGGTAGTCTGTGCTGAAACGGCAGCAGATGGATTTTGTGTTGTTGCTACGCCAGGTGTAGCCTGTGTTGGAACAGCTTCAGTTCGACTATGCGTTGACACAACATCAGGGGCACCTTGTGTTAATGCTACTGCGTCAGTGGTACCACCTGTTGAAGCACCGTCACTTCGATCTTGAGTTGAAACAACTTCAGCGGCAGCCTGTGTTGACAAAGTGTTAGATGGACCTCGCGTCGGCACATCATGTGTTGGACCTTGTGTTGGCACAGTTGCGGTGGTACTCTCGGTTGGCACAGCGTTAGTTGTATCTCGGGTTGACAAATAATTAGTTGGATTTTCTGTTTCCACCACAGTACCAGTTAGACCTTTGATTATCAGAAAGAATTATCAATATCTTATCAAGCCTTAACGTTAAGATTGAAACCTTCAGCATATACATATGAGATGTCATTCACTACATAAGCTAGAGCCGTATAATGGGGTTCGAATTGTAGTCAGAATTTGGTTCACAACTCATGTACAGCCATAGCTTCAAATATAGAAAGTATATATCAATCAAACAATACAACGTGCTATAGTGTAACCGAGATATATCGCGTGTATTGTAATGGTGTTAAACTGTTGGATAATAAATGTCAGTTTTTTGTCGCACATTTTCCTTCGGTTCTCTATGAATTAAATTAAATTAAACATGCATGCATGCGACGCATGGTTTCCCTACTTTCTTTTTGTTTTATTGCCATTGGAAGAGTCTAAGGGGCTGTTTACATGAGCCCGGTTACCCGAGATTCAACGAAGCGTGAGATGATTTTGAGGTATTAAAATGAACTGATAACATGAGCTGTGCAGTCGAATAATCACCATAACAATAGCATGTGCTTGTTTGGTGTCATAAAGACTTATTTCAATACCTCAAAGTTCTCTCACGCTTCGTTGAATCTCGGGTAACCGGGCTCATGTAAACAGCCCCTAAAATTGAAGATTTAATTAATTCTTTATATACACGCGTTTAATCTCCTTTAATTAACTCACCTGAAGGAATATCGTATCTATGACTGACTGGTTCGACACTACTGGATACGATAACAGTTGGCTGGCCCTGAATCAGGAGTGGGAAAAACTTCAACGCATCATACGCTGTGATAAATATCCTTTCATATTTTGCCGATGCTGACACTATTCGATAACTCTCGCCAAAAGGGATAACAAATCGCTTATACGAGGAATTTGAATGCGTTGTTATAATCAGAATATCTTTAACATAACGATTCTCCATTGTGACATCCAAATGGTAGACAGCTAAAATAATTTAAAATTAAAGAAGAGATTCTAGAATCATAATTAACATTACATATTATAGGCATATATATAACTATGCTTGTAGATGTATCATGTATGTGTAGGACTTATATATATGTGCACGACGTCTTTATTTCAAAATTCTTTGCCGAATTATAATATATGCGTCTAAACATGCATGCATTTCGGGAATCGCAAAGGCGTTACATTCCTCCGAAAAATGAATTCCTCCATGAATGTTCCTGATTTGTCCTTATTCGATTTGCAGTCTCATAATTTTAGTAACCCCCCCCCCCTTTTATACAGGGTGAAATCACCTATAACAATGCAATTGTTAGAGTTTGAATGCCTAAGCACTCTGTTGGGCCCACAAGTGTATAAATCGGGGTTGCCATAAGCATTTTTATGCATGCATCATGATGCAGTCAAATTTGCTTGTTCGCAAAAATGATATTTATTAACAATATTTACAATTTACAAATATGGATAACATTATTTAAATGTGCATCTCAAGGACCATGTCCTTCGACATATCCCCTTTCTCTAGCAGCAAAAAGCATTTAGCATTTTATAAGCTGCATTAAATCCCCACGGGCTGAAATTCGTGAACACGGCATTCAAATTCTAACAATGAGTGATTTCAATAGTTTTCGTTTTTTTTGGAACACCCTGTATACCTTAAACCCCCCTAGGGATTTAAATTTCGCGCTGTCCGTACGGCCTCATACGTTCTCGTAGCCAATCAGATTGCAGAAAGACGTAAAATGTTTCTTAATCTTAACAAGATCTTAACAAATGAAAAAATCTTAACAAGTGAAAACTGATCTAGCCTTGATGTTACAAAACTAAGTGCATGCATGGTCTTCGACATGTCGAGAACCAAGTGCATGGTCTGTGACATGCAAGAAGACATGTCGAGAACCAAGTGGTCTTTGACATATATATTGAGGACGAAGTGGTCTTTGGCATGTCGAGCACTGTATTCAGCTAAACACTTGCACTGCCATGCTGGCTTTCATTTTTGAATATGACTTTAACACTTCGTCCTCAATATGTCGAAGACCACTTGGTTCTCGACATGTCGAAGTTCACTTGGTTTATGACAAGACCTCTTAGGCCTCATACACATGCCACTAGCAAAAAACGAAAACTTGGGTGTTTTTAAATAAATAATAACAAATTATAATGTTATCACAATAAATGTATTATAGAACCATGGAATCTATGATACAGTTGCCAACAACCCACCACAACTACACCACAACTGTTATTTTTCAAGTTGTATATATATATAAGTATATATATATATATATATATATATATATATATATATATATATATATATATATATATATATATATATATATATAGATTATACAGATTATATGACTGTTTGTTCCGTTTTTTAGATTATTAGAAATAGCCACGCAGTATATGTACAGAGTTAAATAGCAGTTTTCGACACATGGATGCCGCGTTGTCAAATGTGTGTACCTGATTTGGCTTTGTCCAAGATCAATAATATCACAATCAACCATACTAGCCGTGTAGGGGCTCCTTCCTGACGCATTTTGTATGTCGAACTTCTACCGTTGTGTTGAGATTATAGCAGCTTAATGTTCCTTTACCTGCTTTATGTTACTATGACTGAGCTTTTCACTTTCACCCTTGGCTTTGTTCGTATTCAGCAGGAATCGAATGCTTCTTTAGCATTTTTGAAAAAGTAACTCAAAAGGTGTGGTTCTGTGGCTTCATCATCGAAGCAAATATCAGCCACTCAATTTGAATGCATATATATATGGAACTTTTGGCTGCAATCCATTGCGAAAGTAAATGATAAGAATCGTATACATACAACTGACCATACCTATGAACATAGGATCCTGTAGTCGGCCTTAATGTTGCTTGCATGCATGCGCCGTGTATTTTGAATAGCAGTTTCCCACAGATTAGACAGAATATTCTGCTATCACACTCCTCCTCCAAAATATTTTTTACGCGACAGCCCCATAAACACGCTGGATATAGCAACGTGCATTTCGCTTTCATTTTCGACTAAATGGCATTCAAATATAACTATTTAACAACTTTAAAATGTTTAGAATTTATATCTCAATTTAAATTTCATTGCAACGGCGACGCAATTCTCCGCTTCGTAAACGGACGTTTCCCTTTCTTAAACGGACGTTTCCATTAATTTTGAAACAGTCGTTGCCATTTCTGGAACAGTCGTTGACTCGTTACCATGTTCATGTTTTAAAATGAATAACTTCGAAGTGCAATATGGCAACGACCATTTTAGAAATTCTAGAAAATGGCTACTGTAGATAAAGTAAATATATTCATGTGTAAAGTAAATAAATGCATGTATATAATTTATGCATATGAAATATTCATAAAGTGTAAACATTTGCCTTGCAATTTTGCTGAATTGTGTTATTTAGCAATTAAGTATGTTCAAAACTCATGCTTCAAACCATTAATACAGTATAAACTCTTTACAAACAAGCAAATAAACTTCATATGTTGTTATATTCTGTTATACAGTCGACCCCAAAGAGTGTGATAATGATATTTGTCAAATCGAGTTAATTAAAGAAACCCTTTACCCTCACCTATTCCCGGCATTACCATCATATACACATTAACCACGCTTGCTCTTGTCATGCAGCTACCTCTGCAGCTCAGTAGCAAGAGCATTGCACCGGCATCGCAAAAACGTAGGTTCGTTTCCTGCCGGAGGACCTATAGTTGACTAATTTTTCCTTCCTGGCTTGAATTTCAAGTGTGTATAATTCCACTCGAAATTAAGACCCTCTCAACGTTTAAGGTATAATATAGCCTTTCACATATACCAAGCTTAAAATTATACAAATAAACTGCATCCTTATACCACGAAGCAAATACGGAATAAACGAAGTGCACGTATACCCTTTTAAAACACGTGTTTTAAGTACTTACAAGCTTGCAGATTATGAATTATTTCTCGATCGACTTATCATACTTACCGTTATGATATATGCACAGCTTCGGACATCTTGAATGTCCCAATCAGATGAAAGATCTAAATCGATGACAACGAAATGTGCTAAAGAAACATTTTCTTTCTAATTACAAAATTGCTAGTCTGTGATCCTTAATTCCATATGAAGTATATAAGGGCCTTAGAATATAACAATTTATCCGTTGACGTTAAAGTCACGTCCGAAACTAATAACAATAATTGGGGGAGGGGGGGGGGTTATTCATATATCTTCAGTTCTGCCCGACGGATTTCCGGTGAAAAGAAGTGGTTAAAAAGTTATTTGTGTATTTAAAATATCGCTTCCATGTTCCTTTGGTGAAAAGAAGCAGAAATTTACAAATGACTCACGTATATGAAGACACACTGAGAATATAATAACCTACGTATATGATGACACACCGAGAATATAATAAATTACCCATGTTTCGGAAAAACAAAGCGATATATATTTATTAATTTAGTTGTAACCTTACCTTGATCGACCGCACGTGACTTTTTTATTAAATTAGGTAAAAGTTGAGACAATGTATAGTTGATATATAACTATACTATATACTAGATATTGTAACATAAATGTAAAAATGTAATATTGATTGTAATGATGCATGTTAAGCCTCTTACAGACGAGCAAGTTTTCTATGACAGGTTTTTATGTGTCAAGTTTTGCATTTTTTTAAAAAAATGACTAACTTATCATTCCAAAAATCGTAGTTGAACTCGATTATTATGTATATAAATTATATGATATCTTGAATGCCTCAATCAGGGGAATGATCTATATGGTTTAATCACATTTATTGTCTATGATCCTTAATTTCATTAAGGCCCCGAAAAGAATATTACAATTCTCTGTTTATTTCATTTCTTCATATAGCAGAATATTTCCGAAAGAAATAAGAAATTTATGGAATGTGATTTAAAATATTCTATATACATGCAGATATAGTACACATGATGTAGGCGTAAGGATGTGACTCGCCAAATAATTAGATGCTGGAATATGATAATAAGCTTGGCATGCCTTATCTAAACCAGCGACAGGTATAATAGCGTGCACGCAATGAAAATGCACAAGACTGCATGAATAGCCACAGCCGTCAACCGTCAGTATTAGTTTGAGCATTGTCGAAGACAGAACATATCTAAAAGTGAAACAAATCCATCAAGGTATATTTTATTTTATTCAATTTCAATTATACCAATTCAATGATAATAGACATTGCTACCTCCAAAAGTTTTAGTCCTCGGCCATTCGTTTTTATTTATATTAAAAAAATTATATTCGCTTGCGCCCAACTTTTAATTTTAACAAGACTGCATGCTTGCGGGAGTTTTTATGCACGATATAGGAGGTAGTCGCGCAGGGGAACACATGACTTGGTTGGTGACCTTATTAGTAAATTTTTATTGCGCGAGTAATCTTTGTACTATTTCTTTACATGTCACCCTATGAATGTTGCATTTCCGCAGCTCGTTCCTGGGCATTTTCCTGCGGTCTTAATTACGATTGAAAGAGCCAAACACGAGTTTGGGATATTTTGAGCTAGGGGTTACAATTACCCCTAGACATTTTATTGATAAAATGACGTAATAATTCATTTATTAATTTTAACAGAACTGATTAACTATATAACTTTTACATATATGTATCAACATATATGTAAAATCGCGAGCTGACTTGAAGCGACTAACTTGAAATGTACGTTTGAGTGAGTCTTATGAAAGCACCCTGAAAGTGATCTAATTGTTCCATCTGTTAAATTATTGGCCTACAGCTAAAGTTTTGTCTCTTCAGAGCAGATTTCCTCCACCCCTTTGGCAGAGTTGCCCATTATGATAATGAAAACAAGATGACAGACATAAAATTCCTATTCGCAAGCAAATATTATATATTATGCAACCTCATTACCAGGGCCTTTTACCTTGATTTTGAGTTGGGGTAAAAGGCCCTGGGATCGGCAAGCCGCTTCTGGCTTCTGATTGGTTAAATGATTTTTCCTAATTTATGTGTAATTGGCGGAATATTTTGTAATTATTCCGAAATAGTACAATTTCAATATGCTTTAATGCGACGATATTATCCGTTCTACGTGACGCCGGCATTTTGAAAATATTAGGCAAAATTTTATGATAAATTATGCATGCTTATTCAAAATACCCCCGAAATGTGGGTATGTTGAACGGGCTTTCCCCTTTCTTTCTCGTAAAGTCTCAAAAGGCCCTGGGAACGAGGTTGTTTATTATGGTATAAATATCGCGAATCACGTTTTCCAGTATACTTTGAACTTTAAAACTGATTGATATTTATGTAACCACATCATATACCAGTCACGCATGGAAAGCTATTGCAAAATTATAGGGTTTTCGGTATTTTTTTATTCTCATGGACAACATAATAACAACTTATTTAATTTAAATAATTTTTTTAAAGTATAGATGAATGCTACAATTGATGACTCGAAAACGTACTCGTAAAATTGTTGACTAAGCTAAATTCCTTTTATGCCTTGAATATAGATGAAATACGCATGCAACTACATCAATTCATACATTGCTTGATATTATTATTTTTGGATAATTACATATAAGATGACGGTTCTACCCTTATAAATGAATGTAAAATTCGCTTGTAATGTACATGTAATATTCTTGAAATTTTTCGAAATTTAAAATTCGCTTGTAATGTAGCTAAATGTAAAGATGTAATATTGATTGTAATGACGCATGTTATATAGAAATGAATTTAAAATTCGCTTATATTTAGATGAATACAACGATTGATGACCCGGCAACTTCACCAAACATGGTTGCAAATAATCTAGTATCTGGCATATTCAGCATATTCCTGGGAATTGCAACCACATGCCTTAACCTCGCAACGATCACTGCTTACATCAAGTCAAAAGTTTTAAAAAGCAAATTGGCATATTTCATGATTATGATGCTGTCAGTTAACGATTTTCTGGTTGGCTTAGTACCCAATGGGCTTTTTGCTGCAATATTGTTGGTTCGGTATAATTCGAAGAGAACCAATCACCATCTAAGCATAATCCAACTACATTTGTGGCTATTTTTTTCGGGATGTTCAATTAAAACTTTGGTTGTCATGAGTTGGGAACGCTATGCGGCGATATGTCACCCACTGTTCCATCGAGCAGAAGTCACTCGGAAACGACTAATGAAATGTGTGATTTTTCTCTGGTTGGTTGCGGTCATCGGTACAATTCTTGCCTGGCGTTTTCAAGCCGTTTTTTGGAACTATGTAGTTATTCCCGAAATTTTTTTTTTCACCATTCTCTTAGTGTACTTTTACGTGAGAATTTATATTGCTAATTTAAATTCTTCAAAAAAGATTCGCCAAACAAAAGGAATCAATCAGGGCGCAGATGAAGCCTCGTGGAACAAGGTCAAGGAGCGGTGTAAAGCCATGTTGAATGTCAACTTGGCGAAGTCATGTTTTCTAGCCGTAATGTCTTATGCTATTTTTTTGTTACCGTCTTCAATAAATGCCATATTTATGCCGAGTCTTAGGAGTGATGTGCGGATATCGGGCGTTGATATTTGGCTTACAACACTCGTTTTTATGAACTCGAGTTTGAACTCGATTGTGTTTTTCTGGAGAAGTAAATCTTTAAGAAAAGAAGTTTTTGCAGTTATTCGTGTCTTATTTCACAAAAGAGAATGACAAAGAGCTATATAGTGATAGT